TTGTGAAATGGCCCTGCTTAGCAGAGCTGCCTCTCTCAGTTTACGAGCTGAACGTCTGGTTCCACAGTAGCAGAGACACTGTGGGGCCCCTTCAAGAAGTCTGGGCTATTCTCCATACTCCGTCGGGTGGGGGGCAATGGTGCTTTTCTTGGTCCGCTCTGGGTTCATTTTATGAATGCAAACTGTGCTTCCACAGAAGTGTGTTCTTCCGAGGTAGACGTCACTGCACTATTTCAAGCTTGTCTCCATACATGAGAAGGGTCTGGAGAGTTGGCTTGCTGGTCAAGGACCCTCCTTGCACTGGTGGGGGCTCTGCTCACAGCCTCACGTGCATGTCACCTTGAGTCATTGACTGGCCCCGTTGCTGCTGTGGCCAAGGAGAGGTGGAAGGGGACACTGACTCACCGGACGGGGTGTGGTCTGAATGCCCCTCGTCTGGTGTGTGAGCAGGTCCCTGGAGATGAAGGCCTTCAACTCAGCGTCCCCTACCAAACAACAAAAGGCAGACAAAGGCGGGTTTGGCCCGGTCCCAGGGAGATGCAGCGAGGACAGATGTCTGGCCCAGGCCCAGGCTGAGAGAATGAGGACTAGGGAAGGCCAGGGCATCCTGGGAGAAGACCGAGATGTCACTGTGAGCCTTTCAGGAAGAGGACAGTCTTGGAGGGGACCCAGGACATAAAGAGAAGAGCCAGCCTCTTAATTTTGGTCCAGGTTTTTCCCACTAAAACTTTGTCCTTGTTACTGTTCTTTGCCTTTGAGTCAGCACAACGCAGCGAAATGCTGCCAGGTCCTGAGAGGTTGTGGGCTGGACCCCTGTGACCCACAGCGTTTCACGGGCTGGTTTTGGGACATAGATCACCAGGCCTTTCTTCTTGGCCTGTCTTTGTCTAGAAGCTCTGCTGACACCTTCTTAGCACCACGGCAGGATGCAGGTCTCTGCTGACAGGGGCGGTGGTTGGAAATCGAGCCTGTATCTCCCTGATGAAAGGACGGGATTTTTCCACTGAACCAGTGA